TCCAGGTGGGCCTGCAACCCGAGTATGAAGTAAATCTCTTCATGTACCTGTACTTCGTCCTCTTCATCATCTTTGGTTCCTTCTTCACCCTCAACCTCTTTATCGGTGTTATCATCGAAAACTTCAACGCACAGAAAAAAAAGATAAGTGTATTTGGATTTTTGAGATTTGTTTGTATCTGCGCGTACTGGACAGGTAGATACATTTGTCACCATATATTTATATGTTCTTATTGGTATGTACTATGTAGTATATACGTGACGTTTCTTCTGTCGGTCTTTTGGCGAAGTGTTTCTCAGTTTAAAGGGGCATTATGTAATATTTCTGCACCAAAAATCGAAATAGTTCAATTCACAAAAACATTCGTGTAATTGTAATTTACTTCCACTTTTTAGCATATTCGTGCAATTATCTCATATTTCTGACATTTATGGCAGGCACTAAAACTAGCCCACACGAGCCGCACTCGGTTTGTGGTGCCACCACAAAATACCAGAATGTAAACAAACACAACCGTCAGCGTTGTTTCCAGCTTTTGAACACGCTCTTAAGGAGTAATATTTTGGCACCTCCACTTCCTGAATGGCACTGACTTGAAATGGAGAAGACTTCAAAGTAAAGAAAGAACCAGAAAATGTACTTTTTGTATCGTACTAATGTTACATAATGCAGCTTTAACGTTGCGTCACATTACATCCCCGCCATGCAAGTCCACCTTGTCATGTCTCATCAGCATGATGAAACTCTCTGCATGCAAACACGAGGACAGAGGAATTTACCAAAGTTCCTTGAGGGGGGAAGAGGCGGCCTTTTTTTCCAATTGAATAGAAACTAGTGAACTACTTGGGTATTGACTAACTGTGGACGGTATATAACATTTGTATTTCCATTTCTCTTCTGCACGAGGTTGAGAAAGGTTGGTGAAAGTTCATGTAAACTGTTATAAACTTATATCTAAACACGAATAGAGACAAAGATGGCACTATAACATCACCCTGGGTCAGGACTGGTGTGTGCCATACGTACACGAATATCCAGACGTCTCTATATGTTTTATATTTACGGTAAAGCAGATTAATGTAGAAGTGTAGCGGAGACGGCTGCACGCAAATTGCAAGTATATATTTGCATTATTGTTAGAACATAAAATGAAAATCTAATCGGTATCGTGCATATTGCATCTTGAATAAAGGTGGAATAAAAACAAAATGTTGACATAATGTAGGTTGTACAGCTACCATAACGTAAACATTAACGCTAACAAAGTTAAACGTATAATGCCTACCATAAAACTAACAGTATGTATCTATATCCGGTCTAACCGTTTGTAATAAATAATTACTAACCCAAAAGGTCCGCCGTTATATGCTAATAACGATGAATGTGTCTCTTAATCCTTCTCTGGAATAAAGTTACAAGAGGTTGGTAAACTTTTAAACTTCTTGGCACGGTTTCTATTTCATATACTTCTTACTGCAGGGATCAGACATACTCATAACACACAGCCATGGCGCGCTTTTCACTTCGCACTTGCCTTAAATTAGTTTGATAAGTTCTGTGACTTAAGATAGAGTCAGTAAAAAAAATAAATTAGATACATGTATTGATAGGCTAATTCATCATACAGTTTTTAACCACATAGGTGTATATGCATATCAGACCAACTTAAATAGATTCAATTTTTGGGGCCAAATGACCTGAACTTTGCAATCCCCAAGCAGATACATGTGGTGTGGGCAGGAAATCTCCAGTCAGAGTAATGACGGGGGGACGTTGCAAGCAACGTATGGGGATTTCGAGAACTCTGAGTTACTGAAAAGCACGGTGTGTGTGGTGGGGGGGGGGGGTGAGCACTACATGGAAGTTTTGAAAACACCTAATATTGGAAAGCACTACATGGGGGTTTCGAGAATATTATAATAAGTAGTATGTGGTATTGGGGACTACTTGGTGGTGTTCAAAAACTTGATATTGAAGAGCACTTCATTCAAAAGGTTCATATGGAAAACTCAATTTTAAAACGAGGAGGGAGATGGACTGAAATATTCTATTTGCTTTCTAGCAAATGTCTGTCTTTCTAGGTAATCATAACACGACTGACAATGAAAACATACATTGCCATGGCGACGATGATGGTTATTGTAAGGGTTATTGTTTACATGGCACTGCCATTATTTCATGATTTTGGGGAAGCCTCCTTGTGGTCTGTCGTGAGTTCAAAAATAACATTTGAATTCGCAAGTATCTGGGAAAACCTGCCCTACTTCATATGAACCCCTACCTTGTTACCTGTCTAGACTTAACAGGTATACATATATACTTTCCTATCGTTATTATGAAATATTATATGTCATCACCAGCAGCAGTATACGAATAAACATCGATAGTCATCAGCTTCATTGCATCTGAACACTGGTAATGGTATATCGTTATGTGTAATATCCTATGTGCATCACTGGCAGTACACGTTGTGTACATTGTTACCTGTTAAGTCTAGACAGATACAGTGCAGTTCAGTAGATCACTCCTCCCCTCCCCTGAGTGTATAGTGAACGAGCCCCTGGAAAGTAGGGCATCCCAGCAGAAAGGTTTCCCATGGGTTTCCAGGAATTTCACTAAGAAGAACTGTGGGCACACATGTGTGTCAGCAACATTCCAGAGCTGTGATACATTCCTGTGGACATTTCATGCCTGTGGATAAAATTCCTATACAATTCCCAGAATTGTTGCAAACTGCACACAATACTATACCATTAGGCTCCCCCTGAGGCGTTAAAAAACTTTTGATTTAAAAAAAATTCCTATCCAATTAGAACTTCACATATATTGATTTGATTTGAACTTTTGAAATATTGTCTTATAAAAACCAGCGGTTTTGTAAGTTCGCTCTTGTGTTGGATGTTAATGTTACAATAGAGCATTGTAGATCAGTGCGCATTCCGCTGTACTCGCTAATTCGCATTCTATTATGCTACAGTAGGGGGTCAAAAGTAATAGTGTTATATATTATGCACTCCTTCAGATATTACAATGGCTTAAAAATAGGATAGTCTGTCTTTGCTCTTTGTTGTCTTGCATATGACCCTCATGGCCGAATCTCATGAAATTCCTGTGAAACGTCAAGTTTTACAATTTTCACCGCTTTAATTTTGCACGGACAGCACAAGCATGTATGTCTCCTTCACTCAATAACAACTCATGATCAAAAACAAGTAGTTATAGCGTGATGTTTATTGTGTTTGTTTTGTCTCTTTAAGGTGGAGAAGGGTCCTCTATTGACCTGTTTATGACAGAGGATCAGAAGAAGTACTACGCCGCCATGAAAAAACTGGGTTCCAAGTCCCCAACCAAGGGTATCCCAAGGCCTGCGGTAGGAAGACAATTTACAATGAACCTAGAATGTCATGAACCGGTGCAATAGCTCGATTATAGAGTGCTCACTTTGTAACCGGGAGGTCGTGAGTTCAAACCCCGGCCGGGTCATACCAAAGACAAAAATGGTACACACTTTTTTTTCCTGCTTAGCACTCAGCACATATGAGAAAGGGTATGGGAAGGTCAAACACACAGCACTACCAGCGGACCAGCCCCCTGCTGTAGTGCATTGCACCGTCATGGATATGGGCACCACCCTACGCTCTGCATAAGGGCACGGGAGACCTTTCTTTCTAGAATGTTATAGATCAAGAATGCGTCTTAGCCTGCCCATTCACTCTACGTTTCTGACTTGACATTATGTCTGGCAAAGACAAACCAGTATTAGTGGCAAAGATCCTAACACTGATCCCTCCGGCCTGAAGATAACGTAAAATGTCACTTTTAGGTATTAGATCTCTGGTTTTTCAAATGATGCGTATACATTCACATTGTCTTTTTTTCTCTTTTGCAGAATAAAGTCCAGGCATTTTTCTACGATGTTGCCATGCATCAAGTATTCGAGATCTTTATCATGATTATCATTGGCCTGAACATGGTATCCATGATGATCGAACACTATGGCCAAACGCAAGAGTTCACCGACAACCTGGCCTTAGTCAACATCGTATTTATCGCCATATTTACATGGGAGATGGTCTGGAAGATGACTGCCTTTGGCTTTAAATACTTCAGCCAAGGTTGGAACATCTTTGACTGCGTTGTCGTCGTCATGTCTATATTAGGTACGTACCTGATTACTTGTAGTTGCAGAATTTGTATCAGAATATCGACAACGTGCAAATTAAGACAGTATTTAGACAGTTTTTAGCATTGTTCAAGTCAACTGCATGTCTATACGACTGTAAGTAAAATCCGAAATTTAACGACATAGGGGCGTCTGGAAAGTAAGTCTTGAGAAATACTTTACAGGTGCGAAATTCCTCGCCAGTTTCTTGTTTGCGTTCCCACGGGGCTGACCTTGACCTCCAACCTGGTTATTTCGAACGTGAAAGAGGCAGTTTACTGCCTGATGACTTACCTGATAACCACACAATTTATCTCGCGGATCTGCTTAACGCATTTCAACAAAGACAAATGTTTCAGACATCTGACACTTGCTTTATTTCGTAAGCTAATTTTCATTTCAAGCGATTTTCATTTAAAGTTTCAATGTTTTCCTAATGCAGGAATTCTTTTGGAGGACATCATCGAAAAATACTTCGTCTCCCCTACATTGCTAAGGGTTATCCGCGTGGCGAGGATTGGACGAATCCTTCGGCTAATTAAAGGAGCCAAAGGCATACGTACTCTCATCTTTTCTTTGGCCATATCTGCACCTGCTCTGTTTAACATAGGACTGTTGCTCTTCCTCGTCATGTTCATTTATGCCATCTTTGGAATGATTTCGTTCATGGATGTAATTCGCAATAAAGGCTTGAGTGAGATCACTAACTTTGAGACGTTCGGTAACAGCATAATCTCGCTGTTCGAAGTCTGCACGTCAGCTGGCTGGGACGGTCTTCTTGCCGGTACCATGGTGGAGCCACCCGACTGTGACCCGGAGCCTTCTGAGGAATACCCAAACGGAAACTGTGGGAACAGTTCTCTGGCTATCTTCTTCTTCTTGTCTTATTTGGTGCTGAACTTCCTTGTTATGTCCAACATGTACATTGCTGTTATTCTGGACAACTTCAGTAATGCCGTGGCAGAAGCCGATGAAGGGGGTGTGACGGAAGATGACGTCGACATGTACTATTCACTTTGGGAACGCTACGACCCGCACGCTACCAAATACATCCATTTGGACCAGGTGTCGAAATTTCTTAATGAACTTGACGCTCCTCTAAGAGTGCCCAAGCCAAATAAAGTCACTATAGTCTACCTGGACCTTCCAATATGCACGGAGGATAGGGTATATTGTAGAGACCTTTTGACAAAACTGACGGATAAGGTGATGGACACACTTCACCAAGAGAAGACGGAAGAAGAGATGGCGGAGGCGTTAGCTGATCCGGAAAGACCCGAGGACTACGAAGTGATCAGCTCCACCATGACGAGGAGGCGGGAGGAGCTGGCCGCCATGGCCGTTCAGAGGGCCTTCAGGAGGTGGATGCTGAAAGCTTCAATCGAGCGGGCACCTGAGTTTTTGAAAAGGGAAGACGACGATGAGGAGATAACGAGTATGAAAAGTACAGATGACGTAAAGGACGAAGGATCGCCGAAAGCTGATAAATCTCGCAGGGCTACTCTGACATAGCAATAAGGCACAAGGAATTGTTAGGGCTATGTGGTCAATAGTGGAACCCACGTAACCTCATGCCTTGGTCAAGTTGATCAGGGCGTAACTTCGAGTTGAAACTAAGTATCAGACTTTGATGACTTGATACGCCTTTAAGTGCTTAAGGTCCACATGCAGTTACCTTAAACATTACTATCAACTCTGAAGTAAGAACGTTGTGGTGCTTCGAGTCAAGCCAAAGAAATTAGAATCATTTCTGGTTAGGTTCCGCAGAATCTCCCTGGCTACCACAACCTTCCTAGCTGTAATTTCTTTCAGTAAAATGGTCAAATTGTATAAGGAGGAGACTACACGTGGTAGATTATCAGGATGATTTGGATTGAAATCCTGACCACAACAGAACCGTGACTTCTGTGCCTTTCCTAATTCACACGGTTTTAAACGATTAATAAACTCGATCCCTACAACGTACTATGTCACTGACAAGATTTGTGTACTAAATGATGCGTGTTACGCACGAAGTACCTTCTTATCACAGCCCACTTTGGTGTTTTTCTATGTAGAATTGTTTTTAAAACAATGTTGTCATAAATAGCCACATTTCCTCGAGTTGTCATCTCGTTAAGAAAGTTAAGGTTAACGTGGTGATGTCATCACTTGAAATGATTTTAGTTCTGACATGTCCGCCCATCACTTCCAGTCACAGTGTATTTAGAACAATCATCGCTACTCTAATCTGATATCTGTCTTCAACAGGATGTGTTTATTATTGTGTTCTCTTGTATGGAAGTTTGATTCTTTGGAAAATTGCCAACATCAACTCCTGATTTGCTATGTGTAAAATACATGCTGGTCTCATGAAGAGGTCTGGGTTAGTGTGGCATTCAGAACATCATCCGTCAGATTTTATAATTGGCATTTTAATCATTGAGAGTTTTTGCATTTGAAATGGAAGACATGACGTGTAGCTGTATATGTTGGTCATTACAACATGACCAGCATTCTAACGCCTGTTACCAATGATATAAAACTGATATTACTGTAAGTCGTCATAATTTGACATTGTGCTCTCGTGAAGGCAACCTAAAAACAATGTCAACTGCAGTATAAACCATGGAAAGTAAAGAAAAGAAGTACATGCACGTACACATGTATTTGCGTGGTCAGTAACCCGGCATCTATGCATCTTTATCCAAAATGTGACGACAGTGTTAACGAAACGAATCTGTGGTAACGTAGAATGCTTTATATCTAGAAATGTTTGAAAGTTCAGTTCTGTATATTTACAAGATACTGCTTGTCATTAATATGTGATATTACAGCGTCAAATCAAATTTGAAATGAACCTACAGGTATAGTTTCAACACCGATGTTGTTATGGTCTGCCAAACATGTGTGACGAGTAGACACGCTGATTGTGAAGATCGACTGCACATGTAAAGACAGGGCTACAGGGGGTTTACAATGGGTAAGCATGGTCTATTCTGTACATAAGATTTCATTGAAAATTAAACATCATATTTCAAATAATTGTCATGTATTGATGACTACATTCTTGATGAAAGGGTTAGCATAACTTGCATGTGTCACTTGCATGTGTCACAGCATAACTTGCATGTGTTGCAGATATAGGGCACCCTTCATTTACCTTAGGTAGTATAGCATTTTATATAATATGCAAATAATGTTGGAATGGGTTATATGACTCCATAACCCCCTCTTCCAATAATACATACATACAGTGCAAGTATTGATTCAAAAGGTTCTTTCTTCAATCTTTCTTCACCTGGTAATAACATCTATATATTTTCATCATGGCTTATTTACATAATCTATTTCTAACCTACACAAGTATGAAATTTTCATATATTCCTGTGAATATTGTACTGGTTTTTCATCAATAATGTCCTAGCTTGCATAATACATATCAACCAATGTTCCTCATACAAACGTCACTAATGAATATAGCTTTCACAATATCGATACCAAATCAGGATTCGACATGTGTAATCTGTATAAAGCTTTTTGTCTTAGACTTTTATAACTCAGTAAACTTTAAAGTCTTTTTATGGCAAAGATAAGTGATGATTGGACTCGTAACTTAGACAGACAGACAAACATAGTTAAAAGTATGCTCGTCTTCCAAGTTCCCAGTCTTCTTGAGCTAGTAAGAGTCTAAAAAAGAGACTCCGAAAGCTTACTGTTATTTGCTTATCAAAAACCCTGGACAAACCACGCTCTGAGCTTGACATACATGACCTACAGTCGGACCTATGCGCGGAGGTCATAAGGAAGTTCAGAAACTGCATTCCTAATGACATCAAGCAGCTTAATTTGCATAGATTAAGTTATAATTTATATTTCATTCGTGTTACATGACAGTAATTGTGTGGCTAAACCAAGTGCAACTCCGTCAGATTAAAGACATGTTCATAAAAGACACACACACACACACACACACACACACACACACACACACACACACACACACACACACATGCACACACACACGCACACACACACGCACACACATACACACACACACACGTTCCGTATCGGCGACATTGAGAGAGGAATAGTTCTGTATTCACTCAAAGCAAACGTTAGGGTCTCCGTCTTCCCTAACTGTGCGATCCCTATCAGTGACGCATCCCATATGCGGGGCAGTAGTGAGCAGTGATAGAGGCACTAGATCTTGCCTTCATGAATACCGGTACATCACGGGACTGGACCACATAAATTTCGAGACAGCGTGTATCTGAAAAACATTTCGATAAATCCTTTAGGATATTTCACGGGAAAGATAATGATCGTTCATCGTTGTGAATGCCGATGTTGTTTCTGTAAACGGGGCATACCGTGCAGCGAGAGCCGTGGGGATTACAGAGATGATTTGGCTGGTCCCGATGTAAGGGGCGGTAACTAGCAGGGCCAGACACAATCAGATACACATGTACACACACTTCATTCCATACAACTGCTGAATACGATTCAGGCATCTGCATTTAGATACCATTTACTTTATTTTATCCGGCCGCTTGTGCCTATAGGGGCGTCGCGGGGAGATGAAGTCGACGTTCTGTTGGCAGGTGTGTCTCCGTGTGCTCCCAGGGACTCTACTACTACATCTATCGGTGGCGGGGTCACCCTCTGACCCTGACCTGAGTACATAGCAGTTACAGCTGGTTGTGAAATTCTCATCAAGTGGCCAAACCACTGCACCCTCTGCTTGGCAATGAGCTGTAGGACAGGCTTGGTTCCCACCACCAGGCTAATGACTTTATTCCTGAATCTGTCTCTCCTTGCCTTTCCTTGTGCTCCTGGCGGGGCCTCATCAGAGATTCCCCTCCTCTGCTTTGTTTAGAGTCCAGGTCTGACACTGGTAGATGAGACTTGGAATGAAGATGGCGTAGATCAGTCTGGCCTTTAGTCTCCATCGGGATGCTTGTATGCTTTAGTAAAGGTACTAGTTGGACGTCGACAGAGTTTGTCTTTCGTATTATTTGCTCTATCTTCCCGTCCTCTCTGACGAATCCCTCCGGTTTGTTTTTAAGAGATGTCATTCACAGTAATCTCCAGTTTGTCTGGGCAGTGGTCAACTGATATGAATTCTGTCTTCCCAGTGATAATCTTCATTTCGTGGTGTTCGCAAGCAACGTTCAGATTCTGTATCTTCTGCTATCTGTTCTACTGAACCTCTTCGTTTTTTCATTCAGGATGTGGACAAAGTGACGACCAGCGATGCACTAGAAAAGACTGCTGCACCCTTATTTCATGTTCTCTAATTTCCGTCTATTTAAAAAGCGGTAAAATCAAGCAAGCAAAAAAAACATTTTGGTTGTGTAAAAGCCCAAATAAATGTAACGTTTTTCACTACATATTCCACGTATAAATTTGTAGGGTATTTGAAAATTACAAGCATATGCTTCCCAGCAGCCAGACAGAGGACGAAAATCCTTTCTTGTGGCAGGGAGCCTCTTTAACTTCTATGGTGTCTATTAAGGTTCGATCTCATAAAAAATGGAAAACACCCCATGCATACTGCTTTTACATCCGGGAACACTGGGGCCCCTTCCTTGCAAGGTTTTTGCGCTGTTGGGAATGGCTATGGTGTATAAGCACGGGCACCGAAATCTATGCATCAGGAAAATATTGATAAAAAATATAGGAAAGATACGTGCTGCAGTTTCAGATGTAAATGAAAGATACGCCTAGTTACATATCTTACTAAGCAAGCTGAGGTGCGTAAGAGGAGTCGGGTGTATTTATGTGTGTGTGTGTGTGTGTGTGTGTGTGTGTGTGTGTGTGTGTGTGTGTGTGTGTGTGTGTGTGTGTGTGTGTGTGTGTGTGTGTTGTGTGTGTGTGTGTGTGTGTGTGTGTGTGTGTGTGTGTGTGTGTGTGTGTGTGTTTGTGTGTGTGTGTGTATGTGTGTGTGTATGTGTGTGCGTATGTGTGCATATTCTGGAACGTCAAATGATGAGCATTCAATAGAGGACATGTGCGACTTGACAAGAAAAAAGGACACCGTTTGTGTGATATGTGAAAACAGCAGAATTTCAACATTTGGGGTTAACGATGAAAATTTCGTAACCACGACAGTTGCAATGAATATGTTAATTTCGAAATGAAGCAAATTATGTTATAATTTGCATATATAATGGTTTAATACTAATTGCAGTCTGACAAATGAAATGGATTGTCCTAAAAAATATTAAGTATCCAAAATCATAGCTCAAATACAACACAAGTCATGATCAGTCCATTCCTTCAATTCGGAATTTTTGTAGTTACGTAGAATTTGATTCTGTAACAAGAGCTCTACGATCTCATACCTTCGCCAAATGATGTTAACCATTCCGACTGACGAAATTATACGTTTTTCTCATTGCTAATGAAATAAGATCCTCATTTCATTTCCATTATGGATTATATCAGTTGATCATAATAATTATTCTCAACCCAATGACAGCCTTATATTAACAGAGAAAGCTATTCTACCACTTCCTAATATATTGTGCAAATACTTACCTTCACCGAGAAGGTTATGTTTTCAGTAGCGTTTGTATGTGTGCATGTGTGTAGGTGTGCGTTTGTATATGCATGTGGTTTAGCAACGATAACTCAAGAAGCTTTGGATTGCTTTTTAGTGCGTAGGTACCTTAAGTGATGTTTGCCATGATTAAATGATAAATTATGTAAATCTGGAGCTAATTTGCATAATCAATTAGCAATTTCTATAAATCTGCTGTATTCCATAATAGGCCTATGGAACAATTCTGACATATGTAATTGAGCATGAGAGGAACATCTGAATATGTAGATTATGTAAATGGATACCTAATTTGCATAATTAATGGAAAATTGCTGTAATTTCATAGTGTTAAATGCCAGGCAGTTCATACTTGCCACATTTGGAAATTAAGTGAAGGTGAACATGACTAAACATAATTGATTCAAATCATAATATATTTGCATAATTTATGAGGAAGTGCTAGAATAGTCTTCTCTGTTAAGATACGGCTGTCATTACTTCGAGTATAGGATTAGCTGATATAATCCATGATGGAAATGAAATGAGGACTTATTTTCATAATCAATGAGAAAAATGTATAATTTTGTCAGTAGGAATGGTTAACATTATATACCATTATTTGGCGAAGGTACGAGGTCGTGGAATTTGTTGTCAATTGAATAATTGTCATCTAATTATGTCAAGCAGCACTTAAGCTGCCTACACTAAAAATCATGACAATCTCTCGGCCGGTTCTTGAGTTATCCTCCCTCAAAACTTGTTCAACAAACTGCCCTGCATTCCAGAACAAGCTGCTAGGGAGCCCAAACTAATGACACTTCGTGCCTAGCCCAAGAGCTATCTAACATCCAAAATTCCTGACCCTAGCATGTCGAGATCATGAAACATTTACGGTAAATTCTGCTGCAGTACCTAGGAAAGCCGCCAGGGGGCCCAAATCTACTCATTTCTACGTCACATACATAAAGCACACACACACACACACACACACACACACACACACATACACACATTCCAATGTGTACGATTGTTTAGAGATGTCATTTCTCTGCGTTGCACACCTTATATCT